TGAAAGGTAACCCAAAACTGTAATCCCAAAGCTTAGTAAGTTTCCCCCAAAGTACCAACACAAAACAAATAACACAAATACAATAACAGCACACAATGGGTCCACAACTAAGAGACTGGATTACCCCTGAGCGCATATCATAAGTCTAGCTTGCCCTTGGGCCCACAACTTATGTATGGCTTGCTCCCCGACCAGATCAGCCCTCAGACTGGATACCACTAAGCCCTCAGTACGAGTCTGACATCCCCTTCCCGACCCTTAGCTCATATCTGGAATGCTCATGAGCCCTCAGTATGAGTCTGGCATGCCCACCTCGGCCCTCAGCTCATATCTGGATTGCTCCACGGTTTGTTGGCTACCGCACGGAGCAGTACATCCTCAACCCAACCCACACAATATGTCGACATATAACAGATAATAACATATATAGATAATCAGCCAAGATCACATGTAGTCCTACAGATCTACCAGACGAGCATATCAAAACTAGCATACATATCTATTCCACAATCAACATATCAATGAATATCAGGTTATCAAACCAATGGGTCGGCCTTGGTGCCTTCGACCCGCAAGTACAGTGAGGAGAACTCACCTCACAGACTGAACATAACTGAGGTCCAACTCCGAATCTCAGCTCTCTAACCGATACCTATTTCCACCAAATGACCAATTCCAAAAAATCCCAAAATACCCTCAAGGTCCAACTTGGTCAAAGTCAAAGGTCAAGGTCAATAAACCATGTTGACCCAACACGCCGTGTTCCCCTTGGCCATACTATGTTCCGCCAGCATCCAAACAGTCGGGAAAACCTCAACCAACATGTCGGGTTGACTTGCAAAGACGTCGTGGTCGCCTGAGTTCCAACAACTTAATACATTCAGTTGCCTCTTCGATTCCAAGAGCTCTAAAGCTTAGATCTAGACCAAAATGTGATTAAGAAGGATAAAGTTTCCAAATTTATTGATTGGGACTACCAAAAAGGTCCAAAACCCAAACCAAAACGCTTGATAATGCAAGGGCTTAACCAATACGCACTTAATCCTTAAAGTCTAAAGTCCATCCTTTCCAGAAGTGATTCTAACACCTAAGCCATCCCTAAGGTTGGTGGTTTTTAGACATACATGTCCAATGCATGTCTTGAACCCATATTAGGTCAAAATGAGGATTTATGACCTAATCTATACGCATGGCATCAAAACTTGATTATAGACCAGATCCAAGACACTACTAGGTCACCTTAACGTAGAGATTCATAAAGTTGAAAACTTTATGAGATCTAACCATTTCAACATTCAAGAACAAGAAGCAAAAGGGACAAAACTTAAGATCTAACAACTTTGAATGATAAAAATCGGGTCTTAGATACTTACAAAGGTCCAGATGAGTGCCAAACTGAAGAATGGGGGCTTGCTTGCCGGATCTTTGATTCCTTCTTCAACCTTCTTCCTTTTTAGCTTCAAAAACACCAAACTAGCTCAAAAATAGGAGGGAAAGATGATTAGGGTCTCTTTCAGGGCTTGAGTGGCTGATGGGGGCTGAGGGTGAACAAACCCTAGCCTCCTCATTCCTTAAAATAGGGAGCAAAAACCCGGAAGACTAAGGCTTCATTTTAGTCATCAACATGTTGTGTTCCAAGAGGTAACACGTCATGTTGCCCATGATGAAACTCGCGCCTCCTCATAACTGGACGCGTCGTGTTGGTGCCTCTAACACGTCGTATCTATTTCTCAAAAGGTGATTTATACCCAAGGGTGTTACAACTTGACCAATTTGACATGAAATAGAATTATATGGATGAATTTTGAAGTACCTGAAAATCAGGATGTTACAGTTGGATTGGAACCTGGTTTTTTGTGGTAAAACAAACACCATTTTGATGGTTTATGGTTGGAATTACTTAAACTTATTTTGTCCATATTTTCTTTTTTTTCTTCTAGCTCGTATTTGTTACATTTTTAGCGACTTACCTTTATGCATCTTGATCGTGACTCGTCTTAAATTTAATGAAACCATCAACACTCATGTAAATGTAACATACTAACATAAAATAAAAACAAATGGTTTTGTGTTCTAGATTCGTCACTACATCCTACTCATATAAAATATTCTCTAAAATATGCTATAAAAATATATAACAATATTGGTAGAAGACCAAAAAAAAAAACTTTAAAGGGTTAATTCTGTAAAATAACTAATACATGGCACCCATATTTGATTTTAAATTGTATCCTTATGCAAACAAAGTTAGTTTCATTATTAGAAAATTATTGAACATGTGATTCCTTGAGTGTGTTTTCTTTTTAGATATAAAAATGTACCCATTAAATGACCAATTTGGCAATTATGAAGTTTGTCTATATTAGTTTGTTATATTTAATACACTCAGTAATTTTAATTTTTTTTTATGTCATTGTATTTGATAGGAAAAAAATTGGGTATATCTAGTGCTACATATTTCTAAGTCCATCCTGACTACAATATCTATAAATAAATAAAATGCAAAAAATCGTTACTAAAGCCCATTAATTTAAGAAATATAAAAGATTATTTAACTTTCAAAGATATCTATATGTATATACAATATGAATAATAAATACATTAGTATATATTATTATTTTAAGGAACATGAAAGGCTATTGTGGCTTCTAATGAATATTATTTCTGAGATAACAAATTATCCATAACCATATGGCTTTAGGAGATGTTGAAAAATGCATAATTTTGATGAAAAAGAGAGAAATATTTAATAAAACTATTTCTGTAAAATGTCAATTTTTTATTGATTTTGATAGCGTGTTATTTTTAAAAAATTTATAATTAATTTTTTTCCACTTGTGATTTTTATGAATTTTTGTTTTTTTATGAAAATGTCACTTGCTAAATTCTACCTTAAATAAATTAATTTTATTAATATATTATTTAATATATATCTATATAGATAGTAACCTTCCGTTTATAAATTTAAATATTTTAGGTTTGGAACAAAAACTAAAAGAGGTTCTTTAAAAATACATATATGAACTATAATAAAGAAAGTATTGTCAATTTTTAAATCAAAACTATTAAATAAACGAATAGTTAAATTTCTAATGTTGAAAAATAACTATTTTATTATTAAAGTTTGAATCGAAACATGAAAGTCACAATCGTGAAATGTAACATCTTTAATGATTCTTTCTAAACAAAACAATCTAATTATTTTCTTTCTCAGGATATTTTTTAAAACAATTATATATATATATATATATATATATATATATATATATATATATATATATATATATTGACATTAACTCGTTTCTATACGGACCATATTGAAAAGCACCGAACTTGTGCACATAAATATATGATTTATTAAAATGTATTTTACATATAAAAATATTAATTTGAAGTATAACTTTAGTTTTAATTTTTGTTTTTTTAATATCTATATTATTATTTACTATTATTCTTAATATTTAGTCATTCAACTAATTTAATATCAACAAAACATAATATGTTATTTAAAAAAAAATTATACTTATACATTTTGATTATATATAATGAAAATTAGGTTTAATCAATATAAATTGAACATTTATATAATGTTAGTTGTTTTATTTTAAAAACTAAAGAATAACTAGTCAATCAAGAAGCATTAGAATGTGGATTTACTTTAAAAACTAAATTATAGTTACTATAAAAATGTGAAAGTGGAATATGTTGAAATGTGATATAATTATGGAGCTTTCCCTCAACATCAAAGTTTCTGAAATTTTTAAAAAATCTTGGTATATATAGTTGATCGTTGAAGGTTTTTAGCTATGTTTATAACTTCTATAGATGGGTGTTTGTGAATTTTGAAAAATTCACGGGTCTTATTGGTTGTTTTGTTGTCAGATTTATTAAAGTTTATGTATTTTTTAGGCTAGGTTGTTGTACTATTAGGCGTTAGCATGATGATTTGAATTCATTATAAGCTACTTTAATAAGTGGTGTGAGTTCCTTTAGTTTTAGCTACACAAATTTTGTCCTTATTTGTTGAATTGAATTAAACCGAATAAAGATCATTATTATCAAGTAATGAATTTTGAATATAAATCACTCTGAGCAACTGTATAGATTGAAATATTTACTTAGTTGTTATTTCATTTGAATTTATTTCAAAGTTTTAATCAATCTATGTATATGAGTCTCATATATAGTTATTAATCAAAAAAATAAATTATAGTCTATTTATAAATAAGTCTCTAGGTAAAATCATTAAAAAAAATAATAAATAAGAAAAATAAGAAAAAATTATAAACACGTTAAAATGGAAAGGTTTCTAAAACCTAATTACTTGGAGAGGAAGCAACAAAAATTAACTTCCATTTTGGAAAGAATTCGGATAACATTCAACGAATCCCATAAATGTAGTGTGCTGTAGAAGAAAAACAGAAATTAACGCATAGAATGGAACATCCTTTCTCTCCAAGACTCATCTTTTTTTTTTCTTTTATTATTATTATTATTATTATTATTATTATTATTATTATTATTATTATTATTATTACTACAAAGGGTTTCCACTGTATTTTTATCGACATGCTTTTCCTAGGGTTGAGTTTAATTTTCTGTAAGACCCATAAGGGACGGGCCCACCTTCCTCCCATTCATGTATATAAAAGTAATGCCACTAAAGCCACTTGAGTTGTTCCCTTTGTGGCGCACAAAAGAATGTGATCAGACCTTTTCACAAGCAAAGGATGGGACGAAAGAATGTATGGAGAATGCAATGAATCTTCCGAATTATGGATGATTCCAAAATTCTTATCAGATTCTTGCTATACCGATCCCTTGCAAATTTCGTGACAAAAAAGAAACTAAACATCAAAAAGTTCATAAAAAAAGAAAGTAAATGTTTAAATATAAAGAAACTAAGCGGCAGAAAGTTTAAATTGCTTTCCCTTAAAGATCTATACAAAGAAACTAAGCGTCAATAACTTTTACATTTTTATTTCATAAAAACTTAAATACTTGGACTTTCTAATGTACATCATGCTGACATCATACTTCAAGGAATATTGTCATCTCCAACTACTTTAGCAGGACCGAAGGTATTGTGAAAGCCTTCTTCGATGGAGTTATGGTGTGCTTTGCCTGAAGGAGAACGATTACACGAATTATTATACCATCTTGCCCAGAAGAGATAGTTTAGAAAGTTGATCAAACTTAGTCCTGCTAACAGCCAGTAGAAAAGGTCCAATCTGCCCTTATTTAAATCAACACCACCCAGCCAACCACCATCCATTGATCTCGAAGTAATCTTATTTATCAAAGAAACAAGAACTGAACTTAGATAAAATCCAAAGGAGTACGAACAGTATGTCATAGCGGTCAAGAAAGACTGCATCCCTCTCAATGACTGATTGTAAAAGAACTCGATCAACCCCACAGCTGTAAACATCTCAGATAATCCAAAGATTAAGAATTGTGGGGTTATCCAGAAAATAGATAACGTTTGACCAGAGTTCAAAAACGAATCTCTTCTCTTCTTCTCCATTAGTGCAGCGGAGACCATTGAAAAAGTTGCAACAAATAAACCCACTCCAATGCGCTGTAAGGGGGTGATTCCAGAATCATTACCACTGATATTTCGAGCAAAAGGGACGAAAAAATAGTCATATAGGGGGACTACAAATATTAGCAAGATGTAAGGGATGGCTTGGAGTGAGGCTGGTGGGATGTGGAAGGATTTTGTGAGTTGGTTGTTCATCACACTTCCTTGTGACACTGAGAATGTTTGGAGTTGTGCTAAAATGGTGTTGAAGACAATAGTACTAGCAAATATCGGGATGATTGAGATTAGTATCTTCACTTGCTCAACTTGGTTCACAGTGCACAGCCTCCATGGGCTTTCCTTTGCATTATTGGTGTTCCCTTCTTGTCTCCTTATGCAAGCTTTGTCTAAGAAGCTGAAATTAAGTAATTGTATTTAACTAATTAGGAGGATTGTTTTAATAAATCAAGATGATTAATGTGAAATTGGGAATTATATAAGCCCATGGTTTGCTAGATTTTCTTGTTCATTAGCTGAATAATTTTTTTTTTCTATAGTGATTGTACATACACCATTGTGGGTCCAAGACGCTTGTCAATTGCTATAACATTATTATTTAATATTTATGAGCTGGTACTCTAGTACTTTGGTTCTTTTATTGTGAATTAACATGTGTGATTCCCTCTTAAAGTTCAATCAATGAGTTAATTGCATGGTTTTACTGAATTAACTTGCAACTTGCAATTATATTCCATGGGTATTCATATAAGATGATTGATATATGGATGATCAATAGTACCTGAACCGATCAGTAATTGGCCTCTCATTTGACAATATTGTGAAATGGCTTTCAAGCATGTGTGGACTAGACGGGGGCACTTGTCTCCTCTTAAAAAATGCGGCAACAAACACCTGCGTAAGGCATAAAACAAATTTGGTATAAGGTTTTCTACTAATTAAGAAATATCGTATAAGTAGCAAAATAAGTAACTTTGTAGTTTTAAGCCAGCACATAATGCAAACAAGTTTGCATGCATTAGCATGACAAGGCAATAAATAAAGTATATAAAGAAGCTTCGAGTGTTTATATAATAATTTTAAGTTTTGGAATATAAATCTATATATAAAATTATGTAACTAAGGTCCACCGGTGTGGTCCCTATATATTGTTGATGTTGAAGAGAATTTTGTTTTTTTAGAAGCACCATTGATCACGCAAAATACTAATATTAAAATACATATGGTGGAACGTAAGTTTCTCCAAAGAATAAAGCAGGATACACTCAGAGCACGATATATCCGTTTTTAGAAAGTTGTTTTACGAGAAATGTGAGACAGTATGACATTAATTTTTAAATGGCATACGTGTATCATGCACCATCTTTTAAAGAATTAATTATGAGGGTTTATAAATGATCTTACTTGTGCTATAGGGGCTAAAATGCTTCCTTGTGGAGGCTTGTTCCTATAATATAGGGTACCAGAAACCAAACATATCAAGCCCATTGCCATGACGATGGCAGACACCCCGAACCCAATATCCATACCCGAATGGGTTTGGATCCACACAAGTAGAGTGAGAGCAATAAGTTCACCAAGGGAAAAGGCAAAGTAGGCAGCATTAAAGTAGGTTGATAGCTTCTTTGACTGCTTTGAGTCGCTCTTGTTGAATTGATCACCACCATGAGTCAACATGTTTGGCTTCACACACCCACTTCCTAAGGCCACCAAGTAGAGTGCTACAAAGAATATTAATGCCTCCCCTCCTTTGGCCTCAATGCATCGATCTCCATCAATGAGCATGTTGCAAGGTGGTGGTTTCAGCTGAGGGAGATGGGCTTGAACTGATAACAGTATGAAACCCTACAAAGTCAAACAAACATAACATGAGAATGAGACAAAATATGCAGGCTCCTGTCTGCAATGTTGACTATTTATATCTATTTAATTGATTATTCTCATGGTCCTCTCATATAAAAACTAAATAATTAAAAAGCGAAAAGGATTGAACTTACCGAAAGTTCGATAAAGCCAAAGACTAGCATGCTCCAGAAGCAACCCAGATATGAATCAGATAGGTAGCCACCAAAGAGGGTGAGAAGGAACACAGTACCGATGAAGTTTGTGACTATGTTTGCTGCTTTTGACAGCGAATAGTGCATCTCATTTGTCACATATGTTATAAGGTTATTACCTACTGCAGCTATAGCCATTATCTCAAATGCTTGAACTCCTGTAAAAGTTATCTGTATTCAGTTCAAGCGTACCATATCGATAGAATCTATATCTCAGGATGATAATAGTAACTGTAAGCCAAAAAGAACGTCCAGAGAGAGAGAGAGAGAGAGAGAGAGAGAGAGGGCATACGGACCAAGAACAAATGCAGCAGCTCGCATACCCCCATGTTTGATGGGATTCGAGGGTCTCCCTTTCCAATCAACTGTTGGCTCTTCGGAAAAGATATCTCGTTTTTGATCATGGGTTCTTGAGTCCATGTGTGTGTGAGTTATGTTTCTATATGGCTTATGTGATTAGAGAGCTAAAGAGGGAGATTAGTTTCTGAAGTAACGAAATCGGAAGGCCTGTAATTAGAGCTCTCTTCGCATAGACATGTTAATTGAAATAAGAATGATAATTGTAAGTGTGTGGGTGCTTGCGAACTCTAAGCTGAATGTATATATATAGCAAGTTGGCCTCCATCTTCCCCTTAATTTTATATAAAACTATATATCCCCACTATGTGCCATATTCCTTGTCATGTGAGTGTGGTTGGATGTGTGTACATGTGTGGGAGAAAAAATACAACAAGAGCTAATAAGCAAAAAAAAAAAAAAAAGAACTTCAGCGCATATACCTACCGGTATAATTGTAACCCTACGTCTGTTTGACTTATCCGTAGATCGTAACATGGGGTGGGCTAACTTTTTTTACGCTCCCATTGCTGGTCAAACATTACACATTTTTTAACAGCAAAAATCAAAATTTTCTTTGGAACAGCAACTGCAATTTTATAAATAAAACATCCCACTAGCAAGAGCTACTACGCACAGATGCATATCGACTATAGATAAAGAGAAGAAAAGTCTCAAAAGTAGAAAAGAGAAGAAAATTTTCATTGGAATCATTTGCGTCGGTTCAAAAGGAGCATTCCGTCACTAACTGTTGATGGATTTCGGACGGTCTTATTTACCAACCGATTTCTTACAGAAAAGTCTGTCAATAATTACATGACTTCATCAATCCACGGTTTGTTTGTTTCTTCTCCTGAATTTTATCAGTTGAGTTTCCATTTCCATTTAAGCTTGACAGAGCGGTTTCGGCGTCCCTTGCAAAAACAAACATGGACTTGGTGAACACCGGGCCACCAACTCGGCATGCCAAGTTCCGTGGCCAAACTCGGTGGTGTTTAGCCGATGAGAAAGAGGGTGAGGTTTTCTAACTTTCCAACTTTCAATTTTTACCATCTTTGTAACTCATATAAATACTACTCACTACCACATTTCATATAACATTACATTTTTCAATTTTTCACTAAAAAAACTCTTATTTTTGTGAAAAATGATATCCCTTTCCAACCCAAAAAGCCAATCTCACGTGGCCAAATATGGCGAAATATGGGTGTCATGTCAGTTCACACCGTGCATCTGCTCTGTGCGCGAGGTTGCGCACGAAGATTTCTGCTTTCTTAAAAATTTCATATCTTCTCCGTACGAGCTCCGTTTTCGACAGGTTTTATATCGATGGAATCATGTGGACGATATCTTCAACTCTCATTTAGATTGTCTTTCCTAACAATCGACCGATTTCTAATTCGGTTTATGTGTCGTTCACTGCTATGCTGAAACTTCTAAAAATCATAATTTCCTCTTACGAAGTTAGATTTGGACGTTCTTTATATGCACACTCTCGGTTTTGCAATTACTATGAATTTTGTGAAGACTATTTATCGTAAATAGTCTTCTATCAAAGACATCTATTTAAGTGACCAGTCGTTTATACTTTAAGGCGAAAATGGGGTGTTACAATTTGACTGACTCTTGGTACTCCTTTTAGTCAATTGTCTGGATTCCTATGTGGTTTATGTGCATGATAAGGCTGTGTAGGGTCGGTTTGGGTCGGATTTGAACCCAAACCCAAACCAGCCCATAAATGTTCGGTTTCTGGTTTTCAGAACCCAATAGGATCGGTTTCTGATCGGTTTGTTTTTTTGGGTTCTGAGGTTGGTTTGGACGGTTTTTCAGTTTCTTGGGTTCAACCTAGACAGTCACGGGTTCTAGGTTTAAACCCATGGGTTTTGGGTTTAAACCCATTTTCCAGAAATGACAGAAGAAGTTAAATACTTCAAAAAAACACCAAATTGAAGTTAAATACTTCAAAAAACATGAGTCTTACAACCAAATAGTCTATTACAAGTGACAACCAAAGCCCGAAATAGTTTATTACAACGAACACAAAATCAAGTATGGGTCGATTTCTTGGGTTGGATGGGTCGATTTCTTGGGTTGGATGGGTCGGTTTATTGGGGCGGTTTGTCGATTTTAAGTATGTGACGCTTTCTTGAGTTGGATGGGTCGGTTTCTAGGTAAAAACCGAAAATTATTTCTTGGTTTTTTAGAAAATTCAAACCCTAACCGTCGGTTTTGCATCGATTTCGGTTTTTTGGGTTTCAGTTTTGTCGATTTTAGTCGGTTTTTCGGTTTCTTAGTTTGGGTTTGCTCACCCCTAGTGCATGACCTATTGAGGGCGGTTACCTTAAATTGAATGTGGGTCCATGGAATGATCTTAAAATAATGAATTGTATGCTTTTTTTTTAAGATTTATGTTGCACACTTGCAGTTCTTAGCAGAGTCATTTGTGTATTTATTACAACATGACCAAAGGGAAAGCGGGATTGTTGTGGTCCTTTCTAAATTTAATTTAACAAAGATTAAATAACTACTTAGGGCAATAAATTTATGGTAGTTCCAATCGAAGTAGTTGTTTTCTATATCATTCATAGAGCTAACAATAGGGCGTTTTGGGTTGGGTTCGAATTCAACTTATGAAGGTGAACGAGGCTAAATGGGACAAGGATTATATCACCCGCCCCACCCCCAAAATTCTCCCATTCCCCCGCTACCACCCCTCCCTAGAAATCTCCAGCTTTCCCACACCCGAACTCCTCCATACCCTCGCCCCGCCTCCGTTTCCCTGCACGCGATTGATTTTTGGCTGCCTTTTTTTGGGGTCTAAAAAGCTATTTTTTGGGTAAAAAATAGTTATTTATAGCAAAATTTTAATTGTTAAACACAAAAATCATATGGTTAGATAACGCCTAGTGTATACATATATTTTCGAGATTAACTTATTATGTTATGTTATGTTTTGGTAGTATTAGAAGAACATATGCTTAATTTATTTTAAATTATTATTTTACAAATATAATACGTTGCTAGATTGAAACAAAGCAAAACATTATAATGAAAGATCATTATGACTAAAAGTCATTATAGAATGATATTTGCTAATGACATATGATCCTATATGGTCACACATTATAGCAAGTTACTACTTATTGATTATTTATTAAGTAATTTGATTATTAATAAGAGAGAACATTAACTAGTTATATTCATAAGGCATGAATATATATATAATGTCCAACTTTTTGGCACTTTGAGTAAGTCATTTAGTTGGAACATAACTACGGGTTATGAGCTTGAGTAAAGAACACTTCTTGGCCCCATGTGGATTGTTAAAGTCGTAGGCTCTATAAAGAGTGGCTAGTTTGATTGTTTGAATTGGTATTGCATCCCATACTTCCTTACTTGGCCTTACTCTCTTATTTAATGAAGGTATGCACCATACTTCATGAGTTAGTATATAAAAAAGTGTTTGGACTAAAAACTAGGCTAGGTTTTCGTTACACTTCTTCTTCTCTTTTCACTCTAAAAGTCGTGGGCTTCTTAAAGCTCTCCCATCACCTCTCTAGAAAATTGTTGTGTAGATTTTAAGGCTTCATAAGTTGCTTCTCTTTAAGGTTTATTTGTTATGAACTCTTAAGGCTTAAAAATAACTTATATGCAAGTGAAGACTAGCATATTGTAGTGGTTTATCCTTGTATGGTGGATACTTTCAGAGAAGCAGTCCTTTAAGTCTTTTTTCATCTTCATCCACTTACGACCTCCATAGAGGAGTCAAAGGCTTCAAAGGTTGTATCACTTTTGTCCTTCTATGGTTTTTATTTATACTTGCATGATTTTCAAAACGATTCTTTGTGAGTTCGATTGAGTTTTAAGTTCATTCTATTGTTAGACTTCTAATACGTTTTTAGCGTTTTTGGAAAACCAGTTTTAAATAAACCTCAACAATTAGTATCAGAGCCATTTTTACAAGCTTGGTTAGATTAATAGATTATTTGGTATAATATTTTTTTTGGAAAAAATTTATGGTTTTCTTTTTGTATGAAAATGTAATATATATTTTCTCTGACAATTATATAGTTTTTAACTTTTAGTGAAAAAGTTTACAAGTACATTTGGTCATATATATATATATATATATATATATATATATATATATATATATATATATATATATATAAACAAGCTATGAACCTCTTGTGATGTGTTTGTCTTGTTTTGTTAAAATGATTATAATATTTATTTATTCATATGAAATATAATAATTAAATAGATAAATTTTATTTATTAATTTTTGTAAGTAATAGATTAATTTTAGAAGTATTTCTTTTTATAAAAATGTAAAAAGAATGAAGATGGTGGCCATTTTGATGATGAAAAGTTTATAACTTTATTTTATTCGTGTTTTATAAACTTTTGAAAATTATTTTTATAAACTACCTACAAAGTGATGAAAAAAGTGGAAGCAAAAAGACATTAGAAGATTTTTAATCCCTTTATGTCTCTTCGGAATGGACTTGACCTTCTTTGTGATGACTCAGAAAATGTCACTAGTTTATGTTTGATTTATGCACATATAGTATGTTTGTGTTGTTTATTTTTATGTTGATATTATGTTATTACTGTTAAATTTAGATTTCACATGGAACATAACATTTTGAACATAAATTAATATCACAAGAAGTTTGATTTTAATGAAATTTATCTTTTAACATAATATGTTAAAATATTTTTAGAAGTAAAAGTGAGTTTTATCGTTTAAAAACTAGCTAACGGTAAATTTCATGATTAAAATTATATAAGTACAAAATTGAGATTTTAGAGATTTATCAAACTTCAAACCTTATTTTATACAAGGAAGTTTTATTAAAAGGTTTAATAAATGTTCTTTAGCCCTCAAACGTCCAAACTTAATAATAGATATTAAACTTACATTTGATCACGTCAATTATATAAAATTGAATTTAATAAAAAATTTGATAAAATGTGATTTAAAATAAAGTATATTCTGGCTTATTGGATGCATGCAATAACCATGATATAATATGTTTTTTAAACTACAATTATAAAAATATCAAAGACCCCTTAATTGAACTCAAATCTATGCAATCTTATTTGAATAACACTCACTTGTCGCTTGTATAAGCTAGCGGGATAAATGATACCAAACCGCTAGTGTTATGTTTTGATGAGTGGTGTGTATTTGTGATTTCTATAACCTAATTATAGATCGATTATACAAGT